AGCTCCCAGCCCCCAGTCCTGGGCGGGGAATTGGTACCTGAGCCTGCTGGCCACACAGGGCCCCAGCCCACCCTTCCCCACCAGCGCTGGGAGCAGCTCTTGGGTCGGGCCAGCCCCCACCCCTGGCCACGACAGTCTCGCCGCTGGCTCCAGCTCCCAGAGCAGATGTTCGCTTACAGTGGCCGAGAGGGCTCTGGTTTCTGCCCCTCTGGCCAGGAGATGCACACTCGCCTCTCTCTTTTCCCTCCCCCCCCCCCCGCCCCAACTCAAACCCACTCCAAGTACTTCCCTCTGCCCCCCACCCCACCAGTTTTCCCAGCCTCAACCATCCTCCAGCACCCACCCCTTCCATTCACCCCAGGACCTTGCCTCCCTCGAAAGCAGCTGCCTGGCCCTAGGCCCTCAGCTCTGTCCCCCCCCCGAGGCACCGAGCCCAGCTAGGGCCATCGCCCACTTCCTCCCATGCTGGCAGGTACGTGGTGCCAGTGGGCACTAGGCCCTGTGGCACTGGAACAGCCTGAGCTGGGGCCACTGACCAGCCGAGCCTGGAGCTCAGGACTGCTCCCCCCGGCCCACGGGCCTCACTGCAGGCTGGCCTCTGAACCCCGCTCCAACGCGCCCATCGCCACTGCGCAGAGTGGGGCCAGGGCGTGGCCTCTCAGGGCTGGGCACAGCTAGGGCCAGGGAAAGGAGTAGGGCCCACTGTGCCTGCCCCAGGAAACGCCGCCCAAGCCCCAGAGCCAGACGAAAGCAATAAAGCGGCCGGCCCTTGGGCAAGAACTTTAACAAGTGGAAAAAGACGGAGTCTTTGCTCTGGCAGGGCCCTGCTGCCCCCGGCCGGCCAGGGAAAGGGCCAGCTCCCCCCCGTGAAGCCAGACCAAGTCATCTGAGGAATTCCTGTTTGGCTGCCGAGTGGCAGCAGGGCCTGGAAGAGGTTGAGGAGTAGGAGGAACAGGTAGAGGCAGCTGCTGGGATGGAAAAAACGAGTCAGCCACCGGCAGGAACACGCCAGAGTGTGCAAACGCCCCAGCCAGCTGCGGCTGCTCTCCACCGCAGGGCCCTGCGGGCTCTGCCCGCCTCCCACCCTGCCAATAAAGCCGGCTCTCGGTGACCCAGCGCCAGCCGCTGAGCTGCTGCCATTCACTGCAATGGGATGTTCACTCTGAAGCCTACTGGCAACCCAGACTGTCAGCCTGGTTAATTGTGTCACTGCTGGTCATGAGAGACTCGTGCAGTTTGGGGGCTTACGCCACGGGCCCAGGAGACCTGCTGCAGGCTCAGGGCGCCAGCACTCTGCCCACAGCCTGTCTTTGCATTAGAGCAGGTGAGACGCTCCACTCCAGAGCCCGGGCTGCCTGCAAGGTGCCCAGCGCAACCAGGCAGAGCTGTAAGCCCTGCCCCAGGAATCATCCAGCCCTTGTTCAGGCCAGACCCAGCCTGGGCAACTCCAGCAAGGGTGGGGGGAGGGGGGGGGGAAGGAAAGAGTAACAGCACCAGCACCAGCATTGGACACACAGCTCAGCCCCCCTTCCCCCTGCCCAGCTCAGGCCCATTTCCCCAGCTGGGAGGGTGAGACTCACCCAGAGATTTAGGATCACAGCCCCCAGTTTATAGCTACACTCACAGAAACCACCGCAGCCCCTTAGCTACCCTGCCAGGGGCACAGCTCAGCTCTGCCTGGCCGTGCATGGCCCCGCTTGCTCGAGCACCAGGCCCTGTCTGCCACTGCCTGGCCACAGCTTGCTGAGGAAAGGTTGCCATGCCCAGCCCCTCACCCCCCATGGTGGGCACAGGTCACCGTGCCCAGCCAGAGCCTGCTAGCAGGAACGAACACAGCCAACAGCCATTTTCCTGTAGGAGAGAGGAGCCGGAGGGGGCCCAGCTCTGTGGGCTTAGGCAAGTCATGAGCTTAAGAAGCTTTGCCTCAACTATGTCCTGTGGCCATGAGTTCCACGGTCTAATTACCCATGGCACGAACAAGGGTTTCCTCAGAATGGTTTCAAATCCTCTGGTTCATCAGAAGTCCCTGTTGTGCGTGAAGAGACAGTGTCGGCCAGGGATTGGTAACCTGTCAGAAGCGGTAGGCCAAGTCTTCATTTATTCACTCTAAGAGAAGGTTTCACGTGCCAATCATACATTTTAACGTTTTTAGAAGGTCTCTTTGTCTAAGTCTATAATAGATAACTAAACTATTGTTGTATGTAAAGTAAATAAGGTTTTTAAAATGTTTAAGAAGCTTCATTTAAAACTAAATTAAAATGCAGAGGCCCCTGAACCGGGGGCCAGGACCTGGGCAGTGTGAGTGCCACTGAAAATCAGCTCGTGTGCTGATTTTGGGACGCGTGCTATAGGTTGCCTACCCCTGGTGTAGGTGCTCGGAGCAGCCCTCTGCTACCCAGTCACTATTAACAACTTTTTTCTACTATAAGCCAGCCCAGCCTTTCACAAGTTTTTCCAGGCCTTTGGTCTGTCTCCTCACCCATCTGAAGCCCCGCTCAGCTGCGTCCTGTGTGAGGGGGTGACCAGCACTGCACAGGGGGCCCAAATCTGGGCACAGGCATCTGAGGCTTGTGTTACTGACTGCAGAGGGCTCCCTGGGCTGTCACCTCGACAGCCAGTGCCCTGAGTTATCACAGGGCTGGAACGGACCTCGAGAGGTCGTCTCACCCAGTCCCCTGCACGCACAGCAGGACTAGTGTCTAGCCCATCCCCGACAGGTGTTTGTCCAACCTGCTCTTAAACATCCCCAATGACAGATTTCATAACCTCCCTGGGCAATTGATTCCAGTGCTTCACCACCCTGACAGGTAGGAAGATCTTCCTCATGTCCAACCTAAACCTCCCTTGCTGCAATTTAAGCCCATTGCTGCTTGTCCTGTTCTCAGGGGTTAAGGAGAGCACTTTTTCTCCCTCCTCCTTGTAACAACCTTTTATCTACTTGAAAACTTATATCCCCCTCAGTCTTCTCTTCTCCAGCCTAAACAAACCCAATATTTTTAATCTTCTCTCATAGGTCATGTTTTCTAGACTTTTACTCATTTTTGTTGCTCTTCTCTGGACTCTCCAATTTGTCCACATCTTTCCTGAAATGCGGTGCCCAGAACAGGACCCAGTACTCCAGCTGAGGTCTAATCAGCACGAAGTAGAGCAGAAGAATTACTTCTTGTGTCTTGCTTACAACACTCCTGCTAATACAGCCCAGAATGATGTTCATTTTTTTTGCAACAGTGTTACACTGCTGACTCATATTTAGCTTGTGATCTACTCTGACCCCCAGCTCCCTTTCTGCAGGACTCCTTCCTAGGCAGTCATTTCCCATTTTGTATGTGTGCCACTAATTGTTCCTTCCTAAGGGGAGCACTTTGCATTTGTCCTTATTGGATTTCATCCTATTGACTTCAGACCATTTCTCCAGTTTGTCCAGATCATTTTGAATTTTAATCCTATCCTCCAAAGCACTTGCAACACCTCCCAGCTTGGTATCGTCCGCAAACTTTATAAGTGTACTCTCTGTGCCATTAGCTAAATCACTGATGAAGATATTGAACAGAACCAGACCCAGAACCGATCCCTGCGGGACCCCACTCGTTATGCCCTTCCAGCACGATTGTGAACCACTGATAACTACTCTCTGGGAACGGTTTTCCAACTAGTTATGCACCCACCTTAGAGCAGCTCCATCTAGGTTGTATTTCCCTAGTTTGTTTATGAGAAGGTCATTTGAAACAGTAACAAAAGCCTCACTAAAGTCAAGATACACCACATCTACCGCTTCCCCCTATCCACAAGGCTAGTTGATCATTCGTTTAGCCCCTGGAACATACGGAGCAGTTTCAATGTTCCCCTCCAACAGGCACCACTTGGTGTTGGTCCCCCTTGAACTGCAGTTGAGCAGGTGGTTGGCCTGTGTCAGGCCAGGTTGGAGCACCCTGCTGTGGGGTGAGGAAGAGGCAGGATCTGCCCGGGGGTCTGCCCTCCACCCCAGCTCCCTGTACAGCTCGGCCCTGGCCTGTGGTGCTGAAGCAGGGAGCAAGCGCAGCTGTTGGTGCAGGCAAGGGCCTAGGGCACCTGCCTTTCACACACCACCCTGCAGCCCCTTTTTCCACCAAGGGAGTAATGTGATGGGGGAGCAAATTGCTGCCATGAGATCTCCAAGGCCAGCGCGCCCCCCTGGGAGGCCAGGCTCCAAGTCCCCCCAACACGCCCTTAGCAGCACCCAGACAAGCCAGGGCAGGCTCCACCTGGCAATGAGACTCCAGCGCCAGCCCCTCTACCAGAAGCAAACAGCTTTATTAAAAAATACGTACAGTCTGGTTTCTATACACGTTCCGTGTGGAGGGGACAGCTCCACTCAGCCAGCAGAGAACTCAGCGCGCACCGCTGCCCTCGGACACAGCTGCAGGAGGGGGCCCTTCTGTGCCGGGGGACCCAGGGAGAAGCACCGGGCAGCGCCAAGGACTCTGGGGGCAGCTCGCTGGCTCACTCGTGGAACAACAGTGGAAGGAAGGTGCACGTGCAGTGATGGCCGAGGTTCCTCACCCTCCTAGGACATCCGGGGGAGGGGAGGTCCTCAGAGGCCATCCAGGGACCCCACCAGGGCAGGGCGCCCCATCTAACCCCAGGCTGTGCAGCGCCCAGGCCGGTGCGAACCAGAGTCTGACTGTAACAGTCACATGTCCCAGTGACTGCATGGGAGCGATCGGTGTGAGATGACCAGCCTAGAACATGCAATGACACCAGGGGCCTCAGCGGGGCTGGTGCCTACCCCTCTCGTGCCAGGGCAGCGACCCAGGCAAGCCAGAGGGGCTGCGCTCAGCGGGGGTGGATCCCGTGTTGGGCTGACCCCGGAACAGTTCCGTGTCCTATTGCCCAGTTCGTTAGCTCAGGGAGTGCCCGTGGTGAGTGCACATCGCGGGAAAGGCTGTCGGAGAGCCGGGGACAGTGACGGTTGAACCAGCAGCCACAGCGGAGCCTCCCGTGGCCGCCGGGAAGGGCGGAGTCCTCCAGGCTGCATAGGGGAGAAGCCGCACGAGGCTCCTGCTCCAGGCAGGAAAGTGAGGCGCAGCAGGCGTGGCGCTGCACAAGGCACCGGTTCCGGGCACTGGAAGACGTGGCATCTCCGGGGGGAGGAACATTCATCGACCTGATCGCGGTCACGGAACCGAGGCGCCCGCAGGTCCCATCTGCCGCTCACACAACCCGGACCAGGCGGCCCAGAGTCTCAGCCACCTTCATGCGGACGACGGGAGCCGGGTCCTTCAGCAGCACGTTGAGAGCTGGAACGAGAGCGCGTGACTAGCAGCCGCGAGCCCGGGGAACCAGCCTCATTCCAACGGAGCTGGCACACTCCCGCCCCAGCCGTGCCCCACGCTCCGCCACAGGCCCAGCCCCTCCCTGCACTGGAGGTCAGGGCACGGCCCCAGGCATCGAGCCTGACCAGCCGGGGGCAGCACCTCCCAACCTCCACCTCTGCTCCCCAAAGCAGAGCCATGTCCCCTCCCCCAGAGCCCCGGGCACAATCGACCCTTTGGCCTCCCCCCTCCACCCCACGGGGCAGTGCTCCTCCCCAGCAGGAGCTGCCTCGGCCCCTCAGCCCTGCACAGCCCCTGGCGAAGCCTCCTCCGGAGCACAACATCCATTACCCAAAACGAGCAGCGGGACCAGCCTTGGCACCGGCTCCTCCTAGAGCTTCCACACAGGCCACCCCCACAGCCTGAGGGGGAGCCAGGCAGGGCAGGAGGCCCCCCCCCCCCCATGCACTGATCTGGCTGGCCCCCATCATGGCAGTCTGAGCCCCTCGCATTCCCCCTCAGCCCCAGGAGGTAGGGCAGGGCTCACCCCTTACAGAGGGGGAAATGAAGCCCAGAGGCTGCGTGACTGGCCCAGGGTCACACAGGGCTCGCCAGGGAGACGCGTGAGCCCCACGTGAAGCTGTGCCCACCCCCCGCGCGCTCTGCCTGTTTCCCAGGGCCCACCCTGAGCTGGGCGGGGCAGGGGGTGCACAGCACCAGACTGCAGCAGTGCCCGAGCTGTGCTAAGGGGCACCCCCACAAGCAGCCTGGCGGGGGGCACTGCTCACTTCATGCCCCGCCCCAGCACTAAGGGGGGTGGCTGGACCCTCGAGGAGAACCCAGCGACGCCGTCTCACTGCAGACTCCACGCTGGGCCCTGCCCAGCCCAGCCCAGCGCGTGGGTCGGACTCCTGGGCACTAGCCATCCAGACACAGCAGTCGGCCCAAGCAGGCCCCCGGCCGCTGGGCGAGCGCTGAGCAGACTCGGTTCCACGCGCTCCCGGAGGGGAGCGGGCAGATCAGGCCCTGGCCTGCTCTGGGTTACGATTTCCCCAGTGAGCAGCAGGAAGCCTTGCGCTGCAGCACTTGCCTGAAGCCGTGAGCGGGTCTCTGGCCTAGTGACGCTGAGGCGTTCTGCTCGCCAGCGTCCCCTCGCCGGACTCTCCCCTGCTAGCGCCGATGGGCCCCCATGCTGGGCCACACACAGCCGGCCAGAGCAGGCAGGAGCCGGGTGGGAAGAACTACGGGGTGCCCATGGACCCCACCAGTGTTCGCAGCACCTCGCCCTCGGAGCCGCGCCCAGGCCCAGCCAGGTAGTTTTTCCTTGCAGTGAAGCTCTAACAACGTTTTTCCAGTAGCTTGTTTACAAAGCCGGGCGCCCCCCGTGCCTCCAGATCCCCTCTGCCATTAGCATGGATGAAGGTCCCTGATTTATGTGCCGACTCGCTTCCTGTTCCAGCCGCCCTGGTGATTAGCCTGGGCTAGCGCGGGGTGCCCCCGGGGGCTGGGCTGTAAATCAGAGCCCGGAGCTGTCCCTGGACCCCAGTCAGCTAATCCACTCAATACGGGAAGCTCGAGCAACCTGATCCAAGGCTGCTAACTCCAGCGATTACTCACAGACACACGTCTTCTCTTTCACTTGTTTCAAACAGACAGGCCCCTCTCTGCTGGAAGGGCTCCGGGAGCCAACGGAAAGAGAGTTTTTCCTTTTTTAGTGTTTTTTAAGCTCTCTTGGAACAATCCAAGAGTTTCCATGCATTACGATACACTATGAGGTCACTAGTGACAGGGAAAAAATCCCTGAAATCCAGGAAAATTACTTAACTCGGCTCCAAAATGCCACCAGCTTCAATTGGACTTTTTATTAGTCCTTTCTAACGAGCTGGAGCTGGGCCTTTTAACAATGAACACGTTACAAGCAAACCCAGCACTTCCTTACGCGCCAACGCTGCAAATGCCACACGCGCTTTGAGCCGACGCCCGGGCTGCAGCCTGCGATGCCACAGACGGGAGCTGGAGTTTCAGCCTCCGGCCGCTTCGCCAGCACTGGTGCCACACTCGGCTCTGTGCTGGGGGCCGTCTCCTCCGGAGCTCAGCATCGGCAGTGGTTATTCACAACGCACACTGCTGTGCCCATCACAGAGAGCGCTCGGACGAAGCAAACCCTCACTTGCTGATCCAAGCCCCTGCCCCAGCTCAGCGGAGAGGAACGGAGCCACTGGGGGACTGAAGGTCACAACCCCGCTGCTAAGCGACTAGCACCATGTGCCGGGCCACTCCCTCGCTCGAGGCAGTGGCCAAGCAAGCCCTGCAGACAGCTCGCCAGGACCCTGGCACACACAGTGGGCTACGATTGTCAGAGGTCAAGGAAACCAGGCCGTGAAGACGAGTGGCCTTGCAGCAGGGCACACAGGGTCACAGCCCCTCTGGATTGGCCTGTTCACCCTCGGTTTCCATCTCCAGAGGGGGGCTGTGACCATGTGGGCCAGGAGCGGGGACCAACCCATGGGCCAGGAGTCGCTGCTGCAGGGTGGGCTTGTTCTCCAACCCGCCTCGCCCCCGGGCCTCACCGGCCAGCACCCACACTGCTCCCGTGTACGCTGATGCAGCGCATGCTACTGGCAGGGACTTCAGTGACTAGCCCCCGAAGACACCCCCCTCTGCTGTGAGACTGACTACAAATTTCCAAGCCAAAAATCAGAGCCTTACGCACTGTAGCCACCTCTGTCGGTAACATGCAAGAGGCGGCCACAGGGCGGGCCCAGGAGCCTCCAGGGACTTTGTCGAAGGCTCTTTGGAATCCCCCCGGGTCGTTACCCAGGACCATGCAGACAGTCCAGGAGAGGGAGGATTTTCCTTAGCACCTTTTCTGCCATCTGCCCCGCCACGTGACACTCCTCTGGGGGCGTTCTAGCTACGGCCAGAGTTCCAGCCAGATCCGATCCGGGCTCTGCCCGTAGCAGCCACTCAATACGATACTCCCTGTCCCAGGCCAGTCTGTGGCTTGGTGTCATTCGCAGCGTTCCGCAGCATCCCCCCCTCAGCACCGTCTGGCCAGCCTGGCCGTCATGTGCTGCACCGATGTTAGGGCTCGTCTCCACTGCAGCCCAGACGCCGCCCAGGGCCGGGGGGCTCTCCCCGGGAATCCGGCCCGAGGCAGGAGCCAGGCGGATGGAACTAGTGCTGTTCACACAGGCCCTTCGGCTGGCTCGGCTGAAATCGCTGGGGAGGATTTTTCACACGTAAAGCTGGGTTGAGCTAATGTCTAGTGTAGACCAGCCCTTGCTGTTTGTGAGGGTTCCCCAGACTCCGTCCTTGGTCCCCTCGCTAATCTCATCCACAACACTCCGCTCCCGTCTCTGTGACCGCGCCCAGCTCCAGCTCTCTCCGCCAGCCTCCTCCTGCCCGAACGGGCGTCTCCGCGACCGAGCTCTCCTCAGGGCCTCTCGTCACCAGCTCAAACAACACGGCTGAGAGCGAGCCAGCTCCCCTGTCACCATGGCCAGCTCTGCCAGCCAGCCTGGTATGCAGGCCCATACCCCTGGCAGGTCCTTACATCCACACCGCAGCCTGCCCTGCCCAGCCACCATGTCACCCCTCGATTGCTGCAAAACCCTTCCCTCTGGCCTGGACAAACGCAGCCGTCTGCCCATGCCCACTCCGAATGGTGCTGCCAAGATCCCGCTCCTAGCCAGGTCCCCCCCCGGCTCCGTCACAGACAGCAGCTACTTGTCTTCATTCCCAAGGCCTTTCCCGAGCTATTCCCCACTCCCCCAGCAGCCTGTCATCTCGTTCACGGGCCAAGCGCTCACTCCAAGCCCATGGCACCAGCCTTCACTGCCAAACAAACCCCTTCACGCTTCCTCAGCAGCTGCCCCTCAGCCTTGGGAAGAGCTCCCCCTCCCCACAATGCTCCATTACGGTGACACTGACAAAACCCCGAGGAGTCAGGCCCGGGGGGCTGAGACCAGCGCCTGCCATGCTGACCAGCCCCGGCTCCCTGCTTCTGCAGCCTCTCCAATCTGTCTGGGACTTAAATTCCCATCTGTGTGCGTACAGCACCTGGCGCAGCGAGCTCCTGGGCCACACCTAGAGCTGCCAGGCACTCCAGTAATACAAACTGATTCATTAACTAACGAGCTCCAGGCCCCACAGAAGCCAGTGATCAGTGCCTGTTGGCCCAGGTCACCCCCTGGCATGAGACAGGCTTGTGACAAGAGCTGCCAGCATGCCAGGCTGCACAGCCCCGGCAACGACCCGTAGGGAGCAGCTTGTCCCCAGCGCTCCCCCCCCCACCAGGACTGGAGCCCCGGGCGTCAAGGCCTGAAGCATCGGCAACAGCCCGCGCAGGCCCTCGTCCAGCCAGGCTCGTGTTTAACATGAGCCTCCCGGGCCCCGAACCCGGGGAGCAGAGCCCTGCAGCCCCAGGGCAGCGTTCCCGGGGCGAAGGGAGGGAAAGGCCCGTGGGAGACCAGCTAGGAGAAGGGAGCTGGGATCTGTTCTGCAGGAGGCACCAAGGTGCCTGCGGGGCCTCTCGACCGAGCGCTGGGCAAGGACCTAGCACAGCTCTCGTACACCGCGTACACGCTGGCCCTACAGACCCTCACTGGAGAGAGGAATGTTTGCTATTGCAGGCGGGCCTGGCGAGGGCAGAAATCCCCCACCCAGGCAGGAGGTTTTGCTGTTGCTCAGAACAACCTTGGACTCTTAAGTCAAGGAGGGCCAGTGGCCTCGACTCAAGCCAAGACCAACTGTCCCGTAGCCCAGCACCCAGCCTGGCCCTAGTGGGGAAGCCCTTGCCTAGGCCATGCCAGCACAGGGGTCTATAGCCCGGTACAAAGGAGGGAGCAGAGGTGCAGCGCGATCGTGGCTTGGCAGCAGCGAGACGCAAAATGACAGCAATGAACTGGAAGGCGAAGCTGCTCCAGCCCCAGGCCTGGCTCATTAACCCCCAGCTGCCCGGTGCAGTAACCTCGCTGGGGCCTGCCAAGAGACTCACTCCCAGCCCTGCCTTCCCGCACTGCGATCTCCCTCCCATTTCACCCGCAGCTCCCAGCACCCAGCGTGCTCAGCCCACAGCTCCCGGCCCGGCTAAGGGCCGCTCTCTTACTCACAGGAAAGGAGTTGGTCCAGGTCCACGTGCTTACTGTGCTCTTCGTCCACGTGCAGAACGAGGAAGCCTGGAGACAGAAGAGAGTGGAAGTTACGGCGGAGTTTGCAGCGCAGGGTTTTGAGGCCTCGTTTAACCTGGCCGGGTCACGTGAGAATTCGGGCGTGCTGCGGAGCAGCAGCTGCAGCACACGAGTGCAGAGGCACCAGAGCACCCCTCGCCCAGGAGCGTCGCCGGCGTCTGCACGGTGCTGATCCGCGAGGAGCGGGGGATGGGAATTTCACAGATCCCGAGGCCAGAAGGGACCCGAGTGATTATCCAGTCTGACCTGCCCAGCACCGGCCAGAGACCAGCCCTAGAGCAGAGCTTAAAAAAAAAAATCCAGTCTTGATTTGAGACTTGCCGGTGATGGGAACTGCACCACGACCCTTGGTGATCGGCCCAAGGGCTAATCACATCCCTTTTTTCCCAGTCTGAATTGGTCTGACTTCAAACTTCCAGCCACGGGAGCATGATAGACCTTTGTCTGCTAGACTGAGGAGCCAGTTATCCAGTATTTGTTCCCCGTGCAGGTATTTATAGACTGATCCAACTCACCCCTTAGACGTCTCTGTTCAGCTGAGGAGACTGAGCCCCTCAAATCTCACTCTAAGGCAGGTTTCCAGCCCTGTAATCACTCTCGACTTGTCTCTGACCCCTCCCCACTTTATCAGTGTCCTTGAACCATGAACCCCAGAACTGGCCCCAGGATCCCAGCAGCGCTCGCCCCAGGGCCACATACAGAGGTACAATAACCTCTCTGCTCCCCCTCGAGATTCCCCTGTTTATGCATCCAAAGATCCCATTAGCCACCACATCGCACTGGGAGCTGATGTGCAGCTGATTATCCATCTTTCAGAGTCGTTGCTTCCCAGGATAGAGCCCCCAGCCGGTAAGTCTGGCCGACAGCCTTTGTCCTGACACGTTCCATTTACACGTAGCCACACTAACATGCACGTTTGCTTGCACGCAGCTTACCCAGCGACACCGTGCGCTCTAGATCAGTGACCACTCCCCCCACTTCTGTATCCTCTGCAAACTTCAGTGACTATTGTGTGTTTTCTTCCAGGTCACGGATTAAAAACAAATTAAAATAAAATAAAAAATAATGTTCCCTAGCCTAGGGCCAAGAATCCACCCTGTGGGACCCCACTAGAAATACACCCGCTCAAGGACTCCTCCTCCCCAGACCTATCGGCCAGTTTTTAATCCACGTAACGTGCCATGATGCTTATGTTGATCTAGTTTCTTCAGACTGTGGTGTGGTACCAAGTCAACACCGAACAGAAGCGCAAGAACTTGACACCCCATGACCACGGTTCGCAGCCAGACTGGTCATCGCCGCAAACAGACAGTTTGACAGGATCTAGTTTCCCTGTGAACCCAGGCTGACTGGCATTAGCTAGTCCTCCTGTAATTCTTTATCAAGTCCTGTATCAGCCACTGCATTATGCTGCCCATGATTGATGTCAAACTGTCGGGCTTCTCATTACCGGAGTCAGCCTGTTTACCCTTTTTCAATACCGGCTTTCCTCTAGTCTTTTAGGTGTTCCAAGACGTATTGAAAAAGTCAACATTAGCCAGCCAGCTCTTTTAAGACTCTTGGATGCAAGTTATCCAAATCTGCTGATTTAAAAATGTCGAACTTTAGTAGCTGCTGTTATCCTGAGATACTCGTGGACTGGAGAGAGAATCACCACAGGACATGACATCTCATCGGTTTTATTCCCCAATACAGAACAAATGTGTCTTGAACAACTCCTGCTTCGTGGCTATTCTACCATTTCCATCGAGTAACGGACCGATACCACGGGCAGATTCTTTTTGTTCCGCATACACTTAAAAACTCCTTATTGTCTAACTCTGCTGGCAACAGATTTCCTCCAAAAAATAGCTGCCTTCACGCCCCCAGTGAGCTGTGTCGGTCTTTTCACCAATAGAGCCTTCTTCCTCAGCCGTGGGGTTCTGTGCATCTGACCAAGGGTTCACCACCCATTTCTGAGTCTATTCTTCCTCCCTACTGGTTTGGCTCATCATTGTTTTCATCCTTGTGAAATTGGCCCTATTGAAGCACCAAGTCAATATTTTACTGGTCTGGACTGTATCCGGCTTGATCAAGTCATGGTCACTTGCACCTGAGCTACCAGTAATTTTTAGTTCTGGGATCAGTCCCTCCTTATCTGTCAGCACAAGGTCTAATCAACAATTCCACATGTCGGCTGCAGCACTTCCGGAGTTAGGAAATGCCCATCTAGCATGTTTAGAAATTCCAAGGAGGTTTCCATACTGGCCGCATGAGACCTCCAGCAGGTGCCACTCAGACTGAAGCCCCCATAATCTCACAGCTCCCCCCCACCCCACCCCCCAAACACATTAGAGAGAGAGTTAAGCACCCAGACGCCAGTGACTTTCAAACCCCTCTGCCAGTCCCAGCCAGCAGTAGTGCCGACGTGGGAACAGCGCCAAGGCAACCTTACCGATAAACATGGGCGCTGCTGCTCGAATGTCAACCCAGTTGCTCTTGAAGTAGAAGAGGTTGGTTGAAATCAAACGATTCAGCATCTCTGGGTAGTTCTGCATCTAAAGAGAAGACCCAGGTAATGAGGATGAGCTGGGCTCCCCGAGGCACCCCGCTTCCTGCGGAAAGGGGCAGACATGCTGGGCATCTCCTGGGCTGAGGCATTCCAGCCCCCACCGGACCACCGCCATCCCATCCCCAGCACAGACCCCCGCTGGGGCAAGCCCCCCCGTGGGCTGTGTCGGTTTCGTACGAACATGCCCAGGCTCCTGTGACAAGGGACCACGGTAAGGCACAATAGGAGCAGGAGGGAAGGCCGGGCGAGTAGAGAATCGGCGCTGCAGGAGAGCTCCCTTTGGGGAGCAGAGTGTGCTATGGGCATGGCAGCGACTGGCCAGGGGCGCTTCAGGAGCTACCCGGCTACTCTGGGCCCCCTCCCGCAGCGTCAGAGCCGGGAGCCCCGGTCGGAAGCGGACAAGGGGGCAGCCTGCCGTGCTGACAGAAGAGGGACTGGTCTGCTCAGCGAGGTTCAGAGAGCATAATGGTCCCTTCTGGCCTCAAGGCATCTCCTCCGCCCTCTGGGAGATCCCTGACCGTACGTTTCACGCCCACGGGCAGCCTGAGGACTCAATGAAACTAAAGCACTTCAGTGCTCAGGACACCATGCTGGCGTGTGCCACGGCAGAGAGGAGAAACCAAGAGGCCAGCAAAACGCCCAGTGCCCCAGCGGCAGGGAACTGAAGAGGTGACGTGCCCAGATGGTCCTGCAGGCGGATCCATGCCCCACGCTGCAGAGTAAGGCCAAAAAAACCTATGGTCCCTGCCAGTCTGAGCTGGGAGAAACCCCTTCCCAGCCCCCACCGAGACCCACCAGCCAGGAATATGAGAGAGAGAGAGTTCTCTGCCCCAGCTCAGCACCAGGGTCCCATCTCCAGCTGGGGCTTCAGAGGAAGGGAAAGGTTCTTTCCCGGCCCCTGCTGGCGACTGGTTGAAACACTGGAGCGTGAGACTGTTCCGGTCAGATGAACAGGTCGAGGGCAGTGCAGACTGTCCAGCCCCACCCCGGCCTGCGAAGGGAGCGGGTGACGGGAGGTGCATGGGGGTCACAGAGTCCAAGGCCAGATGGACAGCATGTAGTGCTGCAGCTTGAGCCAGGCAGCCTTGACCTCTGCGCCCTTGGCCAGCACTTCTGTTCACTCCTTTGGGGCAGCAGAAAAGGGCCGACTGCCGGGACTCTCGAAAGGTCCCACCCCATCAAGGGACAGGCCAAGCCGCTGTCAAGCCAGTGCCACCGCTGCCAGGGGAGCACTCGCTGGCTTCAGCGCCTTCCTGCTGTCCCAGACAGTCTCTGCTCTGGGCTGGAAATGCTGCTCTCTGGCGTTTCTGTGCCGGCTGTCGGCAACGGCCCAGAGTGGGGCGGGCTGGAGCAGGTTAGTCGTGCCCCAGCAGCGACTGCTCGCAGGACTCTCAGCCGCTCACTCTACCTACTGGGAAGCCAGAGTCTCACTCACCAGGTGCTTACAGACGTCGTTCATGAACTCTCCGTAATGCAGGCTGCGGTCTTCATGCAGGTGGTTCAGGAACATGTCACAGAGTCCCTCACAGCCCATGTTGGGGCCACACATGCGCAGAGCAAATTTACAGGCCTGCAGGACAGGGCGGACGAGAAGGAGGAGACAGCAACACGGTGTCAGTCACCGGAAATGCACCAGCCGCTCGTCTCCTTTCACCCTGGCAGGGCAGGACAGGACACCCCACTCCCAGGGACCAACAGCCCCCGGTTCCAGACTCCCAGCTATAGGAACGCTTAGCAGGACATGGTCCTCGCTGAGCCCGCAGGCCAGCATGGAGCTGTGATGTTATTGATACAATCTGGGACCATATAGAACATGGTTGCAACCAAGGTCCTGTAGTGGCATCAAATCTTGTATAAAGGGGGTCAAATGAGGTGTCTAAGACAAGGTTATGGTTTGCTGGTTATGATTATGCTGTCTATATGTGTGTATCAATTTTGTAGTTGAAGTTATGAATATTGGCTCTATACTGTCTGTATTTCAAACTTATGCTATGCTTCTGGGTGACACCCCAGACAAGTTGGTGTCAGCTCTGCCTAGCCTGCTTGATGGCCCATTAAGGACCATCAGCTACAACTGACCCATTGAGAGAAGGCAGATACGCCTTGTGACTCAGCAAGGAACGCAGGGACTGGCCCATGTGACTCCAGGCTCCATTTTGCTGTAATTTTCCACAGTGAGAACAAAGAGGTGTTCTTACACCTGGAAAAGACTATATAAGGCTGATGCCTCATCTCCATTGGGTCTTCAGTCCTGCTTCTTACCTCTGGAGGGACTTTGCTACAAGCTGAAGCTTTGAACAAAGGACTGAGGACCCATCCCAGCTGGGGATGTTCCAGAGACTTGATTTGAACCTGCAGTTTATTCTATCGCTGCTACAAGCCTGAACCAAGAACTTTGCCATTACTGTATGGAATTGATTCCATTTAACCAATTCTAACTCTCATCTCTATCTTTTTCCTTTTATGAATAAACCTTTAGATTTTAGATTCTAAGGGATTGGCAACAGTGTGATTTGTGGGTAAGATCTGATTTGTATATTGACCTGGGTCTGGGGCTTGATCCTTCGGGATCGAGAGAACCTTTTTTTTCCTTTTACTGGGGTCTTGGTTTTCATAACCATTTGTCCCCATAACGAGTGGCACTGGTGGTGATACTGGGAAACTGGAGTGTCTAAGGGAATTGCTTGTGTGACTTGTGGTTAGCCAGTGGGGTGAAACCAAAGTCTTCACTGTCTGGTTGGTTTGGTTTGCCTTAGAGGGGGATAAACCCCAGCCTTCGGCTGTAACTGCCCTGGTTGAGCAATTTGTCCTGAATTGGCACTCTCAGTTGGGTCCCGCCAGAACCAGCATCGTCACAGGAGCTGTGCAGTCAGACACCAGCCAAATGCCTGCTAGCAGCAAGACACTTACTTTGATGACCTCTGGCTTTGGATCCTGGAGGTGAAGCAGCAGCGTCACCAGCCCATTCAGGATCTGCTCAAAAAAGACGTCTTCACAATTCCCAGCGCTGAACTTGGTCAGGTTCCCGAACAGAACGATGGAAGACGCGCGCAGTTCGTGGTTTTCCTGCAGGCAAAGGGCACACAAGGAGAGCGTCGCTGTGATGGAGACGCACAAAAGGATCACAGCAGGCGCCGTCTCAGCCCCACTCCAGCCGCTGACTCCTGGGGACGCCCCGGCATGGGTGAGCACAGGAATTGTTCCTTCCCACCCAGCCCCCAACCCGCTGGCTGTCTCCAGTTCTGAGCAAACAGACGCAGCAGATGAAGCGCCAGGTTCTGCAGATGCTGGAGCTTTCAGACTATCCACTGGCTTCTCGTGGATTGTGGCGAAAGAGCAGAGAGCAGGGACAAGGTTTCAACCTCCCCTGCCTCAGTTTCCTCCTCTGTACAATGGGGCTAACAGCCTTCCTAGGGCAGAGATCAGCTGGCTGTCTGGACCATGCTGGGAGTCCCCTGGATGGATGTTACTCTAGCACAGAGGAAGTCCCCACAATCACCTAGCCCTGCCATAGACTCAGCTGCTACGTCTCCTACAGCATGTCACTCACTCCTGCTCTGCCCTTTGGGTGGGTCTTTCCTTCCCGCCCACGGGCCCATTAACCCCGGCACTCTGGCAGTGGCGGTTACCTCTCGCCCACCCCGGCTCCCTGGTATCACTTTAGACAGGTGTGCTAGCACACAAGTCACTAGGGATTTGCAGTAATGCCCACTAGGCACCAGGCTTCTCACGCACCAAGGACCCTGCTCCCAGCCTGCAGGCAGAGGCAGGGGAAGGACCAAGGGAACAGTAGGGAAGTTGCTAAGACTCCAGCACTAGTGGGTCTGAGAGGGACTTCAGTGCGGGCAGGGCTGGGCTGGGCTCGGGGAGGAGCACAAGGACCCATTGCATGGCAATCTGACGGATGGGTAGCTGAGACCGGGAGCGGGGGGGGTGGACGGGGCAGGGCAAAGCTGGACACGAGGGCGAGCAGGGAGGGGTTCCAAGAGGGGCGTGATCCGATTCCACCGGCGCACGCTGGAGTTCAGTAGCAACGTGTGCTGGGAGACGATCATCCAGGCAGGGCAGAGTGAGGGTCTGAGCACAGGGCCAGATCTCAGCGAGGCGGTGGGAGCAGAGGATTGAGCTATGGCCTGAAGCGAGGGAGGAGTTGAAGGCCTGAGTGCTGGGGAGGCGGGTGGCGTCTGTCACCGCAGCAAGCAAAGGGAGAAGGCGGGAGCTGGTTTTGGGCCCGGGGCAGTTCAGGGGGGCAAGCCATCCCCAGAGGCGGTGTCCAGGATGGAAGAGACAGGTTGGCGGCAGAGCAAGCTTTGCGAGCCGTCAGCAGAGTCCCCCAGGGCCGGTGCAGAGCAGGAGAAGGGAGGATGACGTCCCAGGAGAGGATGCAGAAAGGGCAGCCAGAGGCAGCGTCCGGGGGGCCCAGTGGGCACAGGCTGTTCAGGAGAGGGGTGCACAGGGCAGAGCAGAGGCCCTGAAGTGTGGCCAGGAAGAGGTCATTCGAGACCGGAGAGTCGAGCACAAGCCGGACTGGAAGCCAGAGTGGGAAGAGAGGAAATCGGTGCCTGTCAATATTTTGGAGATAGGTGAAGTGAAGGGGGGGCGGGGAGCGAGATCCATGGACAGGCAGGAGCACTGCAGGGAGGCGGCTGCTTCTCGGAAGGGGAAGGAGCAGAGACCGACCCGAGGAGGCAAGGGACGGGCTCACAAGGCAGGTGCAGAGGGCACAGACTGGGAGAGATCTCAGCAGACTCAATCCTCTCTCCGAAGGAGTCAGTAAGCTCTGGTGCAGAGAGCAGGGTCATCAGTCTCACCACTTCCCATGGGCAGGCCCTGTGCTCTCGCCACTGCCTCGTGCGCCGAGAAGCCCTCACCCCTTTCGCTAACTCGCTCCAGCTACCTGCTGGTCATCTCCACCGCTCAGCCCTTCAGTTACTCGGCTCTAGTTTTGGTCCTTCGCTGCTCTGCCGTTCCCAGGGCAGGTACATCACCGCCCCCAGAACCACTGGCCTGGCCTGCTCCCTCCTCAGAGGAACTGTAACCGTGGAGCACTGACCCGCTCCCCCAGCCGTTCTATCCCGGAGCACTAAGCACATCCTCCTAGGACGCCGCGCTAGACCGACCCCCGTCCCATGGCTAACACCACTGCCCTGCTGCGAGCCAATGCCCCACGATGCTGAACCCAGCAACTCCCGGACACTGGTACCAGCACGGCCAGCCTCCCCTCCCCTTCCCTTCCCTGTGGCCCGGGCGGGAACCCACCATGGCATCTACTTTCTAGCCTAGAATGCTGCCTTCTATTTACTGGGAATGGGCGACAGGGATGGATCACTTGAGGATTCCCTGTTCTGTTCACTCCCTCTGGGGCGCCTGGCACTGGCCACTGTCAGCAGACAGGACACTGGGTTAGATGGGCCTTTGCTCTGACCCAGTCTGGCCGTTCTTATGTTGTAACTTAGCCTCAGAGGATCCCTGCTTAGCTACTAAGCAGCCCAGGTCTCTCCTGGGTAGGGCAGCCTGCCAGGAGAACACCAGCTTGTGGTCTAGACCTCTGTGCTCCTCCACACCCCCTCAGCCCTAACCTCCCAGCATCCCTGACATGCTGGAGAAGACTCTGACCCCCCACTTCAGAGCAGGCTCCTCTCCTCATTACAGCCCCCAAGCCCTTTGCACCCTGGCTCACGCTCCCTCCCAACCAGCCCAGGTTCTGCCTTACGTTGTCAAAGAAGGGGCGGATGCGGATAGCAATATGGAGAAGCATGGAGCGGATGTCCCTCTCCTCCACGTGGTCCAGGAGTTTGGACAGGCTAGACATGGCCTCCAGAGCCACCAGGTTGTCGGGATCATCCTTGTCGTCCATGCCATTGACCATGGAGGCCAGGAGCTGGGCCCCGTGTTTCCTCACCTGCGGAAGGAAGTCGCACGTTCGAAGCACTCCCTGCTGTGGGACACGTGCCGGGCTACAGGGGTGGGAGCTAAGCGGCACTCAGGGAGGTCATGATGTCACGGCCACGTGGAAGGATTTCTCCTAGGTGGAGCTTGTAGCATCATCTCTAAGCAAACGTCACTAGCACTTTCTATTGCAAACAACTGAAAACAGGGGCTTGTAACTTTGCCAGACTAAGAACTGAGAGTTGTTTCTTTTCAAGCCCGAGTTTCAGTTAAAACAGTTCTGAAAAATGGCTGAATGAGGTTGGGGGAAGGGAGGGGGAATTCTCCTGCCTTGCCCCCCAATGCTTTGGTACAGGGATGTGAAATTTGGCAGGGGTCACCCTGGCATCACGGATGTGCCTTTTGCCATCTCCATGAAAAACTGCCCAAACTTGGCCCAGGGATAAGAAAAATCAGTTTGCACGTGCTCAGTAGAGATCTGTTCAGCTGCTAAATTCTCCGAAGAGTCTATTTGCACTGAGCATGCTCCAGCCCAGAGCTGTAGGACTTCCCTTGGAATTGCTCCTCTCACCTACCAGGGCTGCTGTGGGTCCAGATACAGGGAGACTTCAGCGCCCCCTGCTGGTGATCAGCAATGTGATTTGAACACACAGGGATGAAGGGGGAGGGACAGGGCAGACAGCCTGCAGGAGTACATGTGAGCACTGCTCGCTCCAAAGCCTGGGACCGAACCCAGGAACCCGAAGTCTCCCCATTTCTCTGCCGTCTGCAGATAGTTGAGAAAGCCACTGGCAAAGAGCATCATCCTCTGTAGTTACTAATCCACAGAGGATAACCGCATACTACTGCTACCAGTTACTCCATCAGTGCAGGTTGTGGAATAATCCTATGTGAGGACAGAACTAAAGCCTGTAGGATAATGCACAGGCACAAGGGAGCTGAATTACGTTTGCAGCAGCGGATGCCATCCTGACCACTCGACTTTTGCAACCTACACGCCTGCAGCGTCATTGACGTGGTATTACAAGCGTGGGGCAAAGCCATCTGGCCACAAGCGCCCTGGAGGACTGGATGCCCCTCGGCAGCTGTAAATGGATCCAGGGCCCTTCACTTCTAGTTCACCACCTCCGTGCAAGCCAGGTCAGCCATGCCTTGGATCAAGCTGGGACCTGTAGCTTCCACAGGGCACCCGACCTCATAAAGAGACAGTCGCTGCAATGTGCTCCATTAAATGCAGCCCCCGGCTCCTGGCCTGGTGCCAACACAGCCGTGTGCCGGGCAGACGGTGGGCGCCTGCTCTGGGCGCGCAGAGCAGGTGTACACACTTGCAGCCAGTCTCTGGGCTGGGGAAGTTCATTCAGTCCCTGCTCGCCTGGGGAGCACTTTGCTCTGCTCCCTGCAGGAGAAGGCGGAGGAGCCGGATGCTATTACAGGAGGGACTGACTACAGCTACGCCAGCAGAATGGCATTTTTAGTAGCTACTTATATTTTAGTGTCAAGTCACAGTAGGTTATTGTCTGTCTGAAGGGCGACCTGTCCATGACCTCTCCCTGGGGTTTGGCACAGGCCTGAGCGTAGGAACGGGCGCTTGCCAAGTCGCTGTACTGCCGAAGATTAGACAGCAGGTAGAGAAACCCGAAGAGTTCGTGCAGGCAGTTCAGGGTCACGTGACAGTCCGCTGGGCTCCTTGGCCTACAATGGGCTGGGCTGCAAATTCCAGGGCGGCCTCTCAGACAGGAAAGGGGTTTTAAAACAGCCGTTTCCCACTGCAGGTGTATCTGGCAACGCCTCCCTCTCCCATGCTGCAGTGGCTGGGAACAGCACAACTGGCTGCATCAGAGGAGAGGTCTGTTCTCCCCCGACTCGGACCAGTCCAACCACAGGCCTCGAGAGGGCCAGACACCGTGCTAAGGTGTGGCCGTCCGGATTCCCATGCTAAGCATCCCCGGCTGTCAATGGAGGTATCCATTAGCTAACAGACTAGCGCAGGAATCACCAGGAACCAGTCGAGACCCAAGTCTGAGGGCATCTCCCTGGGGTGTGCTGGCCTTTCCTGGGCCCAGCCTCTCTCGGCTGGCGCCTGACTGAGCCCAGGGAACTCGGGTCTTCCCAGGAGGCTGCAGCCTGCGCTCCAGAATCTGGGCTCATGTTTGAAGTTAAGAAACCTTCAAAAAATGTGAGTCAAATCAATCTGTGCCTGCCTGAGTCTCTGCGAAGAGCCAGAGACAATAGTGGTGGTGGTGGGGGAGTGTCTTAACCGCCCCATTCGTCTCCCTAGGGTGTCAGCAATCCGGCTTCAGAGCCAACGGTGCTGATCCAAACACGTCCCAGAGGGGCGGTGCTGTCCGAAGAGCTGCACCGTGCTAGTTGCATGCATGGGGTGGAGCTTGGGAGAGCAAGGGGACTTCCCCAATTTGGCAGTACTCCTGCCCCTCCCCTGACACCTGCACGGCGCACAGGTCAGATACCGCCCGGGGCAGCAGGCAGGAGTCCCCTGGCTCTAGCGGAGAGCCTGGAGCCAAGCAGGCCAGGTCTCTCAAAGCCCTGGGCTCCTTTCCCGTCAGCACCCAGCTGCGCTGGGGATGCAGCAGTGCACCGGGCGCTCTCACCTTGTCCGGCGACCCGGAGGAGATGTTGCCCAGCCCCCGGAGAGCCAGCATGCGCACCAACGTACAGGAGTCCTTCTGCCGGCCCGTCATGTTATCCATCATGGACTCCAGCAGGATCAGGTCACTCACCACGCTGCTGTTCAGAAGCTGGAACGGACAGAGAGCCTTGGTGTGAGGCAATGCCAGTCTCCACGGTGACCTTCCCCGGCCAGGCCACATCGGGGCAAGACGCGTCCAGTGCTTAGATGCTCCTGTCCCTACGCAGTGTAAAACGGACTCCGGAGCGGCCAGCTCCCTTGCGGAGCGGCCAGAGAGCCTCGCTCTGTAACCGGTAACCCCAGAGACGCTCCCCAGCCATATACTACCTTGCACAGCTGAATTCCTCTCCAGGGAGCTCTAATCCATGCCCTGGCTGGCTGGCGGGTGCAGGAGGGTGCCCCAGGCCAGTGGCCCTGCTATCGCCCCTTAGCCCAGTGGAGAAGAGCTGCCCTCGAGCAGCACCATTGCCTCCAGCTGGCGGATCTGGGGCACACCCACACGTGAGGGGGGCAAGGGGCCAGCTAGCCTAGGGGCGACAGGAACGGCTCCCCAGCAGAACTGCATGGTATCACACACCTTTACTCACAGCAGGCAGCAACCCAGCCTCGGTTCTCCCCTCCCCTCTGCCCAAAGCAGCCAGCGTCTCTTCTCCCCAGCGAGAAGGCAGAGGTTACACGGACCCGCCCACAGGAGGGCAGGGAAGGGCTTTGAGCTCCTTAGCCGGGCAGAGTACCACCGTCCCCCGGGGCAGTCCTAGCTCCTCCCTGGAGAAGGAAGGGTCCTGGGAGGAGACCCTGCGCAAGGGTGCCTGCAAATGCCTCTTGCTCCTTTATGCATCCCCGGGGCTGGAAACCAAAGTGAGACAAATTCGAGCGGGATAAGGGACAAGTTGAGGTGAGGGCAATTAGCCACTGAACAACTTACTAAAGGATCTGGTGGCTCCTTGGCCATTGGGAGCCTTTAAAAAGCTGTTAGCTCAGCAAGTTCTTGTGGGCTTGAGCCAGGAAATAGTGGGCGAAAGGCCCAGGTGTGTGTGCAAAGCGTCAGGCTAGAGGACAAGGATCCCTTCTGGTTTAAAGCCAATGAATGTCTGGAACCAGGTATTAGCAGCTACTGTCCCAGCTCTTCACCGAAGAAGAGGGGCTGGAGAGTGGAGCCGAACTGAGAGCAGACCTGAGCCAGCAGCTCTGCCCTGCACACAGCACCCCTCGCCAGGGAGGTTAGCGAGCAGGAAATCCCAGGAGACCTAGCTAAATGGAGATCACAGGGCTGTTCTCCTAGTGGGCTCCAGGACCACACCCTCCAGTTGAGAGCAATGCTGCATACACGAGAGGAACCCACTCCAAGGAGCAGCTAGACACCCCGCAGTAGAGACCCTGGGGACCTCTGGGGGAGTGTGCGCCAAGAGGAAGCGCCACCCTGCCCATCAGCTCATATGAGATACAGGCCAGTGGCGGCATCCGCCCTGTGACATGGAACTCAGGGGACGTTCGAGTCGCATTCCAGGGCCAGAAGGGACCACTGATCAGCGTGTAACAGGTCACGGAACTGCCCTAAAACCTTCCTAGAGCCGAGCTTTGCAAGGACTTGACAATGGCCGGTGACGGAGAATCCACCCCCGCCCTGGGGAAACTGGTCCAATGGTTAATTGCCCTCACAGTTAAAAGTCTCGGCCCGGTTTCCAGTCTGAATTTGTCTGGCTTGAACTTCCAGCCACCGGACCGTGTCAGGCCTCTCTCGGCTAGATTGAAAAGCCCATTATCAAAAAAGTGTGTTCCCCACCTAGGTACTTACAGACTGTGATCCTGTCACCCCTTAACCTGCACCTTGCTCAGCTAAACAGATCGAGCTCCTGGAGTCTCTCACTGTACGGCAGGTTTTCTAACCCTTTACTCAGTCTGGGGCCCCTTCTCGGACCCCTCCCCACAACTGGACACTGTATCCCCGCAGTGCCCACTCCAGTGCCCAATACACAGGTAACAGACTAGGGAGGCAGAGCAGAGACGTTCACACACCTTTGAACCCAAGTCCCCAGGGGTTTGTAGGGTGATCTATGGACCTAACCCAATCACAACTGCTGGCCAAGGAGACCCCAGGCAGCAGCCTTGCGGGGGGGACACACTGACTGCATCCCTGGCTTGAGCCGCAGCCACAGTGATGGCAGACGACTCGGCCCAGGGAGAGGGGCTGCTCTCGGCCAGCCTTGCAGAGACCTCAGGGAAAGCGTCGGTCCCTGCACCACGATCACACATGCAGGAGAGGCCTGGGGGGCCCTGAGGGCTCAGGGGAAGCCTTAGTTTGTGCTGCAGCTTGGGCCAGCCAGGCCACTGACTCCAGAACCTACCCCCACTCCCTGAAGCCAGCTGGGGCAATTCAGCCACTGCAGCTTTGGGACCCAGCCCCAGGTTGGTGTCCAGGTGGATTCCCCTCCCCCACTCATCGCCCGGCTGGATACCGGCCAGGCAAGCGAACTTTTGGAGGGCGGACTAGCTCCCTTGGGCTTTAGCAGCCATTTTGCTGGGTCGGATCCGTGGCGCGTTCAGTAGATCCAGGCAGAGCGCTGGTCCTCACTCACAGCCCCAAACCAACCTTGTGGCTTTGAGAGGCGGCGAGGCCAGGGCCACCACACGCCCCTCGGCTCTTCCAGGGTGCTTGTTCCACTGCCCCTTCGGCCTCGGGGAGGAGGTGCTACACAACCCCCTCCCCTAGCACTGCTAGGTCGGGGGGGGGGGGGGGGGGGGGGGCCCCCCCCCCCCCCCCCCCCGCGCGGGGGGGGGGGGGGGGGGGGGGGCGAGGACACCAGCCGGCCTCCGCACGTCAAGAGGGGCAGGGAAGGGAGAGAGCCGGCGGCAGATGCCCAGGCAGGTCTGGCAGCGCAGCTCTACCACGCCCGGCTCCGCACCATGCCCCAGCTGCTCGGAGGCCAGCCGACACGCCTCTCCATTGCCGCTTGGTCATCTCAGCCCCTGGCAAGGAAGGGCCGGCAGCTCTCACCTCATCAGCTTTCCGAGAGGGAGAGACGCAGGCGGCGGCTTCCATCCCCGCAAGCTCCAGGGTGAGGCAAAACTGCTATTTTAAACCCTGCACGGCCCGAGAGCCAACCGCACTCGAAGCTGAAGCAGATTGTGGGACGGCAGCCAAGAGCAAGGCCTTCAGCCCCCCCAGCCAAGCAGAAAATAAAAACAGGGCCCTGCGCCCAGGCTGCTCAAGCCGCCGAGCATTTCAAAGGTGGTTTAGAAGCAGGGTTCCAGCTGTGCTGTCGGCAGGCAGCGCCGCTCTGGGGAGCAAAGACCACGGCAGCAGCCCAGCGTTCGCATTACAGTCTGCTGGCCTCGCAGCAGGAACGGGCCTGACTCACCTCATTCTTTACGGTGGTATGTAAGGAAGGGGAAGGTTAGGGCTTCCTGGCGCGGGGCCCCGACGCGGTAAGAGCTGGACTCCCACGAGCACGTCTACGCCGTTCCCAGAGGGACAGGGAAGCTGAAGGGGACTGCTCAGCCGCGCCAGCCTGCTGAGAACCCCTCCCGCCAATGCCAAGGAGACGGCCCGGCCCCGCTCACCTCAGCGAAGAAGGCCGTGGTGGTGATCCTCTGGCTGTCATACACGCTGTTGAGCATCGGGAAGAGATTCTTCGCAATCAAAGGGAGCTTTGGGCCGGCGTGTTTAGCCATCGCACTGGAAGAGACACACCCCGTTACACGGCAGGGGGCATTTGCCTTCCTAACTCAGTAGCACAAGGTTCGGCTCCACTGCCGACGTAACCCCTTAGCTCTCCCGAGGCCAGCGTTAAGGGCGCCGTAGCCAGTCTGAGCCCATGGGAACAGCTGGTTCTAGTCAGTCTAAGCAGGCATCCAGGATACCCGGGCCTGGGCAACGGGAGCCACCCCTGGCAGCGGCCCATCCCACCTTCAGTGGCGCCGAACCCTGACACAGCAGCTCTGACGGGGAGATTACAGCCACGTGTCTCCTAGCCTCCTCCAGAGCTCAGGCTGAAGTGCCAGGAGCCACCGGACAGTTTCACTTGCTTCTTCCTAACCCAGGTCAAGCTTCGGTAGGACGTTTCCCTTCGTCGTCAGAACAAAGAGTGACACCCCTCGAGCCCCACGACCATGTGTCTGAGCGCTAGGGGCGAGGAGCTGTGTGGACACCCCGAGGAATGCCGGCTCGGGGCTGCCTAGCCCTTTACGCACAGGACGGGCAGCTGGAACATACTTCTCCAGCAGAGCCCCTCCCCCCATGCCCAGGAACTCTGGTCCAAGCCTTGGACACCCTCCCAACAAGGGCCAATCGCCCACAGTGCAGGGACTTCTCCCACCCTCAGGCGGGGCACCCCTTGCTCCAGGGCCTAGCAGCCGGGAGACCTCCCAGCCCTCAGATCCAAAGCACAGGAGACATCTAAGCTGTGACCCGGGTCCTCTGTCAGTGCAGAGATCCCTTGTGCTGGCCCTTGTCTGGGTCCCCTGAACCCGCCTCCCCTGCCCTCCGCCACCACTCTCCAATCCAGACAAAACGAGCTGCCGAGAGTCCGGCTCCACTGGCTCCACCGCATTCGGGTCAAGCGCCTGTCCTTGCCTTCCAGGCACGAGTAGCTTTGATCTTCGCATTCCCCATCTCGCCCCTTTGGGCGCTGCCGCCATTAGCCATGCCAACCCCAGCGCTCAGCCTGCAGCGCTCTCCCTCCTCTGGGCCCGGGGCTGCCGGCTGCCCACAAGGGTAGCCATCTGCCACTGGGAGCGGGGAAGCTGCGGGTCACTTCACAAGCCAGGAGCCCACTGCTACCAAGCCCTGGCCCTGATGCACTGTCCCACCATTGCCCCCCATTGGAGCTTGGCAGCTGCAGTTGCCCTTTGTCCCAACCGCCCCCTGCACATCCGGCCAACAGGCTCTGTGGGGCTCGGCACAGCCCATGCTGAAGTAGGCATCGCTCCTGTGCCCGGAGCGACACACGGGCCGCGGCCTGCCCACGCCCTGCCCCAGCCTGGCCATTCGCCCGCGGTTGGACACTGGAAGGGGTACAGAAATACGTGGTCGGGCTGCAAATGCTGCACAGTGCACGAATGGCAAAGGCTCCGTTCTTTCAGGTCAGCTTTCGATATGTCACCGTGCAGGGCCGAGACCTGTCCACCCCAGTCAGCCACTCCTCGCGCATGGCCCGGGCCGGGCCGGGCCGGGCGGAGGATTTCGCTCCAGATCTAAAGGATTAACATGGGTCCCGAAGCACTGAGATGTGCGGTGCCACGGCACCCTTCCCAGCCCCCCCTTGCTCCTGCTTAGCTCCCCGTTTCCCGGGGGCTGCCCTGCTCCAGCAGATCCCACCCAGCCCGTGCACTCTGCTGCTGATCCCAGGCTGCCTGAAGAACTCCTCTTACCTTGCAAGCAGCGCAATGCCATCGTGGTGCCTCTCAGGGCTTTTCATCAGCTCCCAGCCTCCCGCACTCCCCACGGACTTCACCACCTCGTCACTGCCCCCTTGGGTCAGCATGGCGCTCAGGGCTTCCACCGCACAGCTGGACGGACAGACAGAGAGAGAGAGAGAGAGAGAGAGAGAGAGAGATTCTTTTATGAAGCCTGCATGCGACTTGTTTGTATGGCAGCGAACAGGAGCAGCTGGCGGGGAGCGCTGGCCATTGCACCCCGCCGTGCAGTAGAGCATCCTGCACAGTGGCGCATGGGGTTCCGCAGAGGCGCGAGGGTACCTGAGGACTGAATGAGTTATGCGAGGGCTTTAGCTGGAGTGAGACAAACCCATAACTCACGGCTACTTCCATTTCCACCAGGACATTTGCCATTGAAGTGCTCCAAGACACCAGACTGAAAAGTGAAGAAGTCCAGAGCTACTATAAGAAGGGGGTTGGGGTTTTTTTGCATTCATATTTTATTGGTAGGGATTATTTTGCTGCAAGCAGAGAGCAACATATGGGAAACATACGTTATCCTGTCAGAACAAAACAAATATTAGTAATGGCTAAATCTTAGGCTTCCATACAAGAAAGAGGAATGTGTTTACCACACATGTAAAGAAAACAAAATCCCTTCGAAAGAACAGCTCAGAGTCAGGGACTTTTAACCCAAGACCGTTGTGCTCATGCGATTAACTTTGCCAGTAGCCCTACGACGAAGCTGCGGTGAAGGAGGCTCCGCAGTTTTGGAGGGACTGGATGCAGCCCTTTCTAGGTGCAGAAATACCTGCGTGTGCGCAGAATTCCTGAGCGCGGAAAGTTCCTTCTGCTGCTGTAAATGCACTCGCCATGTTCTGCAGCAAAAGTTGTGTAACCGCAAAAAAACCCAAAAGATCCTGGCTCTCCTTAGTGACAGCATATAATCTTTTCTCCAGCGTTGTCCAGAATCCAGACTAATGATGGAAAATATAGAATGAACCATTGTACACATGGAAATTAAATGGATACACATGACTGCTAAAGAAAGAAATATTTCTTCAGCAGTTTTGCCTTGTATTTATTTGTGTCCTTTTATCTAGCTCTCTCCCTCCCTCCTGGAGCAGACGCACAGAGGGTGTGTTAACAACATGAGCTGGATAAAGGGAAAAACCTCTGCACGCAGAAGGCACTAAACCAATGGCAGCTGCTGGGTTAGCCACTTTGAGACATCCCCTTTTATGGGCAAACTCTTGATCACCCACCTGGGGCAGCTGCCACACGGGCTCCCAGGAAGGGGGAGTAAGGAAGCATTAAGGAGACTAGCTAAAGAACAATGGGGGCAGCTGCTCTGCGCTGAGTAGCCCTTCCCCACCCCGAGAGGGTTTCCGCTCCACGGGTGCAGGACAGACCATGCTGCTTGTTGCCTGCAGCTTCCCACTTCTTGCAGGAGCCCTGATGGACTAGCCGTGTCCTCCACAAACACAGGGAGGCATGGATGAGCCGCAGCGGGCTCCAAGTAATCTGTACAGACCGCAGCAGCTAGGAACAAGAACCAAACCAGTCCCGGACATCTGCCATAGGCCGGAATTCCCCAAGCAGCATGTTTTAACTGGCTACTGGCACAAGCCTACCTCGTTTGGCAATCCTGGCCTCCATGTCTAATCCAGCCCATCACATGCTGCTGTTCTCTACTTTTTCCCCATCACGAAGGTTTTTCCTACAGAACTAGTTTGCATCAACTTTAGGGACTGAATTCTGGGGGTAAAATGCTCTTTAGAGCCTTACAACTGTCAGCAATAACCTCATTCATTCACAGACTCCAAAACCAAGGGGACCACTATGAGCATCCAGTCTGACCTCCTGTCTAGCACGGGCCAGAGACACCCCCAAATCATTCCTACAGCAGCTTTCAGAAAAACAACCAGCCTGGATTTACAAATGGTCAGTGACGGCGAATCCACCACACCCCATGTTAAATTAACCATTGGAATCATTACCCTCATTCCCAGTCCAAACTGGTCTAGCTTCGGCTTCCAGCCATTGGATCCTGGCAGACCCCTCTGCTAGATCGAAGAGCCCATTGTCAATAGTTGTTCCTCAGGTCGGTACTTACACAGTGATCAAGTCCACCCTGACCCTTCTCTTGGGCAGGGTGCATGGATGGAGCTCCAGCACTAAGGCAGGGCTTCCAATCCTTTCATTGTTTTGGTGGCTCTTCTCTGAACCCGCTCCAATTTTTTAGCATCTTTCAATGGTGAGAGTCTCCTAGGAGAGGCTCATTTAATCGTTTCCCTACGACTGCAGGAGCCTCGAGCACCGGGGCACCCCAGGGCCTCATTCTCCACCTGGGGCACGGAACAGTCCAATCTCCTGGGGCCGCAATGATTTCTGTGGCTGGATGGTGGCCTGAGCTCAGACAATGATCTAATGGTCCCTTCTGACCTTAAACTCACTCTAAATCCATCTCCTGTATTTGGGGTCATGGATCTATCAGGCATTCGTCTCTATGTAGGGTGAAGGGACCCTTTGTTTGGCATGCGCAGGTGCTGGGCAGGAGACCGCCACTAACTTCGGACAACAGTACTGCACAGGACACCACCACGCTTCCAGCAGCGAATGATCACACCAAGCTCGGGACATGAGATCCCTCGAATTCTAGGGTGACCCAAGCGGTTCCCATCTTAGTCGCTGTACTACATGGAATCATAGAATATCAGGGTTGGAAGGGACCTCAGGAGGTCATCTAGTCCAACCCCCTGCTCAAAGCAGGACCAATTCCCAACTAAATCATCCCAGCCAGAGCTTTGTCAAGCCGGGCCTTAAAAACCTCCAAGGAAGGAGACTCCACCACCTCCCTAGGTAACGCATTCCAGTGCTTCACCACCCTCCTAGTGAAATAGTGTTTCCTAATATCCAACCTAGACCTCCCCCACTGCAACTTGAGACCATTGCTCCTTGTTCTGTCATCTGTCACCACTGAGAACAGCCGAGCTTCATCCTCTTTGGAACCCCCCTTCAGGTAGTTGAAAGCAGCTATCAAATCCCCCCTCATTCTTCTCTTCTGGAGACTAACCAATCCCAGTTCCCTCAGCCTCTCCTCATAAGTCATGTGCTCCAGACCCCTAATCATTTTTGTTGCCCTCCGCTGGACTCTTTCCAATTTTTCCACATCCTTCTTGTAGTGTGGGGCCCAAAACTGGACACAGTACTCCAGATGTGGCCTCACCAGTGCAGAATAGAGGGGAATGATCACGTTCCTCGATCTGCTGGCAATGCCCCTACTTATACAGCCCAAAATGCCGTTAGCCTTCTTGGCAACAAGAGCACACTGTTGACTCATATCCAGCTTCTCGTCCACTGTAACCCCTAGGTCCTTTTCTGCAGAACTGCTACCTAGCCATTCGGTCCCTAGTCTGTAGCAGTGCATGGGATTCTTCCGTCCTAAGTGCAGGACTCTGCACTTGTCCTTGTTGAACCTCATCAGGTTTTTTTTGGCCCTATCCTCTAATTTGTCTAGGTCCCTCTGTATCCGATCCCTACCCTCTAGTGTATCTACCACTTCTCCCAGTTTAGTGTCATCTGCAAAGTTGCTGAGAGTGCATTCCACGCCATCCTCCAGATCATTAATAAAAATATTAAACAAAACCGGCCCCAGGACCGACCCTTGGGGCACTCCGCTTGAAACCGGCTGCCAACTAGACATGGAGCCATTGATCACTACCCGTTGAGCCCGACGATCTAGCCAGCTTTCTATCCACCTTACAGTCATTCATCCAGCCCATACTTCTTTAACTTGGCAGCAAGAATGCATCCAGATACAGACACTGCTCAGATCCATCACCAGCTTCAGCCTCCTTGCAGCTGAAGCCTCCAGAAAATGCACGTTACAATTGTGGAGGAACAGAACAGGGGGGCCTCCTTTCCGATAGCCAAAGTTCTGGGCCTACAGGCCCCAAAACACCTCCAACAGAAGGCTGTCATGATGGTGACCTTTGTGCAAAGTAGAGAAGGCCTAAAAGCCTGGACAATACTGCTCAAATCAATTCTTGGCCAAATCCCAGTTAAAAATAGTGACAGAGGAGGGAAGAAAATTACAAAGTCTGTTGGAGGCTAAAGAAGCTGCTTTAGAAATATAATGTAAGTTGCTCAATATTAAGAAATTGTTTTACAAAAAGTTAATCACCCTAGCTGCTGCTATTGTTTGCTATATTTTCTAATTCCAGCTATCTGCAAAACCACCAATAATAGTTTCCCTTTAAGCGTCTCCTGGAAAGCCCCCCCCTTAGCCCTGGCCAAAATCCCCCGGAAAATGACATGTACCAAGTCTTAAGAAATGTACCCAAGCTAGGGCTGAGCACCACCCCTGCGGAAGCCACCGAGCACCCACCTCTCGGAAATTGAGAAAGTAGGCAAGGGGAGGAGGGAGGACTGACCCCAACCCCAGCCCCTTAGCTCGTGATCAGCTCGTGCTCACCCCATACCCAGCTTGTGATTTGCCCCCGAGCTCGTGTTCACCCTGTGACTAGCCTGTGATTCGTCCCCAATTTCTTAACTCATGACGTATTGTTTGTACCTTGCTTGTGGTTTAATGGAATAAAAGCCTGCCTGCGTGTGGGGCTCGGGGTGTTGGTCTTCGGACTACACCCCAGTGCGCACTGGTTTGTATGTCAATAAACTGGCCTCAGGCTTGAGTCTTTAAACTAAAATCACTGCGTGGGTGATTCTTTCCACGACACAATATATGCAAGTAATTCCCATGTCGTCTCTTTCACGATGGCTGAAAATGGTTTTAGCTGCAAGTGGAAGAATGTGAGAGCAGGTGAGGTAGCATCCTAGGTTACTTGGGATACCAGCTTCACATACACAGAACAGGTCTCCAGTTCAGCATCTCAGGCAGCGCATTCACCAGCTACCCAAAGCCCTTTGACTGGGGCAATTTATCCAGTCACCCAGCTCCGAGGGGCAGCTGTTGAATAAGGAGAAAAGAAGTCACCTCAGGTGGTTTGAACACAGTCACCACATTTACATGTTCTGTATATTCCACTCAGTCCTGAATCCCAAGTGTTTCACGTCAGTGTTCGTCAGAGCTGGTCTGCAGTACCCCGTCTTAGCTACACCAGTCATATGCC